GGTTAACAGCAGTGACAACATCAGTCTTCTCATCTTTGGAACCCCTGACCAAAAATTCATCTTGTTGTTCTTCCAGTCTGACACCAAGTTCGTCGATAAATTTCTCCAGTCTTGCCCGACTTTGAGCCTTTCCAACGCTCAAAAATGGTGTTTTCCTCACCCGACCGGATGGCCCTACCTCAAAGGTAACCAAGCTCAGGCGGTCTTTTTGTGAAAGAGACGAAACTAAGAAATCAAGGGTAGCACGAATGACGCGTACTTTTAACTGGGCAGTACTGGGCACAGCTGAGGGCGGAGGAATAGAAACAACAAGAATTAGATCAATGGGCGGGTGGGGGAGTGGTGTTAAGGAATTAGATGGCCCGGATGATGTGTAAGGTGTGACCAACGAAGTCGGGGATTCGTAGTTGCTCAGTTCGTCGTCTTCTCCAAGAGTCGTGAGTTTGCTCGAATGAGGTATTTGACCCCGCTGTGCCAATGACCCATGTGAAGTGGAAGAAGACAAGGTAGATCGTGATGAGCCGTTCAGTATGCTATCAACGGTACTAACCGTGGTTTGTGTACTACCACTCAACATACGCATTGCCTTAGAACTCCCTCCAAATTCCTCCATATTCGGAGCACGAGGCTCTGGTGCCTGTGGCGGGGTGTTTTGCGCTTGAAACATATTCACGAGGCCCTGAATATTATTTTTCCAGGATTCCAACGATGATCGTTCTTTGAATATCAGGATAAATGATGCAAGTTCGTCTTCCATGTCGATGGTAAGACTCATTTCCCCAGCGGCAGATGTAGCGGTGACATGTTTGATGTGTCGAACATATATCCTACCCTTCAGCCGTAGAACACCCTTGGCTTGGCTGGACATGGACGCTGTGGGACCTGCGTCTGTGAACCCCGAAGCATTTGACAGAAGACGCCCAAGCCCTCTTTTTTTCTCTTCTACGACGCAAATAATGGCTTCTTTGAACAGATACACATAGAATTCTCGAATCGCCGAGTCTCGCCGAACAGATAAAAGATCATACATCTGAAGAGGGCCCAAGTCAGAAAGTGGATGCCCTTTCCAATCTATAATGCGATTTCTAAGGTCTTCGGTGATGGCATTGAATGGCGAATCTTCTTCCTGGTGCATGGTTGTATTATGAGGATATGTATCATGACCGTTGGTCGAAGGAGCTAAACGGTCCTGCGATAGTCCATGATTGTGGTATTGGCGAGAAGATATGTCATGTTCGGCCAGATGCTGTGGTTGTTGTTGTTGTTGTTGCCGTCGCTGAGAGATATGATCAGGGCGAGGACTAGAGTGACCTGAACTTGTATCATGTCCCCTATGGTTCCCACCACTCCTTGAGGCATAATTGTCTGGCATGACAGGACCCGGAACATTACCACCCACACGCTTTCCTGGAAGCTCGATGACTACGATGCAAGTCAAGGGCTGGTTTAAATCATTGGTGCGAGTCAGGGATGAAAACTCCGGCCGGACCTCAATCGAAGGCGTGACGATGTACTGGGAGTGCTCGCCGTTAGGGTTCGACCTAACAGAACCAGTATGGTCAAGAGGGTCGTCGTCGTTAGGATTATAAGGTTGCGAGGCAGCTTGAGCCCGGCTCCGACCGGTAGGGGTATCGCGTCCGGGGAATAGAGGGGCAGCTTTATGATCACCCATGCCAGTGAGGGCAGCGAGTTCTGCACACGATATTGAGAAAGATATGTATTGGATGACGATTGATACGAACTATTTGATTTTCCTCCATCACCATCTCCAACTTTCATGGGCCGTCGACATACACCGCAAACGCCGAGGTTGGTTTTTCTCGGGACGTTATTTCGATGTTGATTGGGAGGAGGACCATAAACAGCGGTGAAGCATGCCTGCGATAGTTCAATAACACCCAATGTGAATGATATTATTGAAACTAACCTCATGAAGAGCATGTCCACACTCGGGGACAATATGTGGCTTCTCACCTGGAAGCCGGAAGCTGAAACTCAGAGGTTCAAGACACACTGGGCACTCTTCCTCATCCTCTATTGCATCACGACTGGAAACTACAGGGAGGGGAGGGATATGCATGGCGGAGTAGGGGTGGGAGGTATGATTTTCGCTGGAAGTGGTGGAAGCGGAATAGGCCGAATGGATGGACGGTGCTCGGTTCGGCTTGCGAAAAACTGTCTGAAAGACCTTGAAGGAGGACTTTGGGGTGGCGCTGGCGCTGGCGGGCTGTGAGTAATTGGGAGGACGGGGCGCTAGACGAGGAGAAATGTATGTGGGAGTAAGAGGAACTTGATGTGAATTGGAATGATCGGAGGGGGTGGGTGAGTCGCGATGATTTCTGGATATCCAACTTGTGGACGAAGTCGATCGCATGAACAAAAAAAGGATTTGAGCGCCCGCAGATAGTACTGGCGAGCTGTTTGACGTTGATGATTAGGTGCTGATTTCCGTGCGAAACGAATGAAAAAGTAAGTATGTAGGTATGTAAGTGGGATTGGGGTCCCTGGCGTCGTAGACTTCCAAGCCTTCTATTTTCTGATAACTTTTCTGCATGCGCTGCATGCATCTTTGATGCCCATTTCAATTGTTCCCATTTGGCTCACTTCAGTAATCATATTATCGTATTGTACCCCTTTGGTCCAAATCTTCATTGTCTCCTCCGTCATTATCCCCCCGTCGCTGTCACAGCCGCCGTCCTCGACTGCGTTTTTCTCCACTGCCAGTGTCACGACGTGGCACTGCGGTCTTCCCCATGAAGCAGATCAGAACCAATCGCTTCCTTTCCCACCTCTAAATATGGACCCTGTCGCCTGTATGATATATTCACGCCATCTGTATCTGCACTCGTCATCTGCTCACCTCACTAAATCTTCTCTTCAGGGCTGTGCAACGGCACCTATGCATCTGCTAATTTCCCTTTTACGACGACCATCACCCCGGCAAACCACGTACACAAGATAACGTAGACTGGATCACATCATCGTCACAGGTCAGTTCATCTACATACCATTATTTCCTGCTCCGTTCCTGTAGGTCCCGATCCAAAAACGATGCGAAAGTGAGTCGGTCCTCGTCCGAATCATGCGCAAGTAGGTGTGGCTAAACCCAAAATGGACCCATCAAGAACAGATGCCCTGATGATGATGCCAACCGAAAATATACCAATGCGTGTAAATTTTATCCAAACCATCATTTCCCTGGGTCGCATCTGGTCATATCAGGTCGCATCCTATAAGTAGTGACAACCTCACCTGAGCTTTGTGGCAACGACGACGTGATACCGATATTACGGATCTTGGCAATGTCTTTCACTTCCGAGGACAAATTCAAATAGTTACAACCTTTGGGTCCTCGAAAAACGACGAGCTTCCATACCATCAGAGTGGCTCAAAATCTCGTCCAGCTCAAAAAATCTAGTACACCAATGTTAAAATCTTGTTTGGTCTTGCTACTATCTTATGAAAAGTTTCGATACAACCGTCATTATTGAGCATCAATATCTGTCGAAGTGGCACTTGGTGGAAAACCATATCCAGGTTCTCACAAGAAGCAAACCGTGTCTGTTCTGGATCCACCATCTCTCCATATAATGCAATGCATAGGTAAAATGTGCATATACATTTATATGCTCTGCAAATATATATTTGAATTTGGCAAACTCATGAGCTAATCAACACCTCTTCAGGCGACCAGGCTGACCCCTATGATGTATAAGCTTTGTCTTTGATCAAGTCAGCAACCTTATCAATATACATACCTGCCCCTGTCATATATCCTGACATGACATTGTAAGCCTCATTTATTATGTGGGTAACTCTTGGCTATTTAACGTACGACCGTCACCACATAAAATTCTCATTCAATCATGTTCAGCTGGAAATCACCGCTCGAAGGATATGAGAATACCAAACCTCTTCCAAATACTGTCAATCCTGATGGCAAGTCACTCTTCAATCCCCCAGGTGACAAGTCAACTGCCTACGAAGAATTTCCGCCACCGATCAACCCCTCAAATAATGGGTTTGATTTTCATGGTGAGTTCAACACACCTATTGGTCCCGACTCGAATGGGCACTGTGTTTGGTCTGTACTGGGCTGTTCCAACCCTCACCTCCTTTGCCGTTAGTATACTACATGCCGACAATAGAGGCCGAACTAAGTTTTGCCCGAGAGCTGCACGAACGAATCAGGAGAGAATTTCCAGAGGTACGCAGACCTCCCCCTCGGCCCTAATTCCAGAGTCCCTTGCCTAACCGTCCATTGTAGCTCCGGATATATAAATTTTGGGAAAGACCAGTTGGTGGGTGGTTCACCGCGCATTCACTGGAGGAGGCTTTAAGGAATGTTTACTCTACTGCCAACAGGCCCCCACCCCACAGCAATGTTCGAAGTCAATACTTTCAACCCACATCAGACCGGTGCACTATTCTCTTGGTTGACGGTCCATCGAGGGCCTTGCTCGTACGTCCCGAATTTCAGATGATCTGTGATAGAAGCTCATCAATGACGGCATAACAACATTGTGACTTTGATGTCTTCACGACCTCATGGTAATCTTCCCGGACCCACGCGTCTAATTGATTTCATGAATTTCCTAACGTCTTCACAGTGTGCTCATTCATCCTAACACAGATGATGAATTAAAAGATCACACAGAGTTGATGTCCTGGATGGGAAAACCATGGCCACTCAACACGTCGATGTTAAAAGCAGCACATTAGTTTAAAGTATAAATGATCCTATTATTATATGCCACCCCTCACAAATGCAAGGGATTATTCCCGCTACCGTCAATTTTGAGTCTGACCTCTATGTTCGGCCTGAAAAAAAAGAGGATTTCAGGTTACCGTTGCTTGTCCCTACATAGTGCAAGAAAGATCTCAGTTAATTAAAATCTCTTGCTCCAGTCGGCAAATTATGTCTAGGAGTACAAACTGGACTACCTTCTCTTTGAAGGGGAAACAAAGTGGGATATGATTATTAAAGAAAATAAAAGAGATGTCCCAGGGAGAAGTCGAACCTCCGTCTTGACGGTAACTCTGAATAAATTCCACAACGTCATGATCTAACCACTAATCGACAAGGACTTGAATACTTTACGGAGTGTTAAGATCACGATTTGGAACGGGTAATATGAAAAAAACAACTTCCATAGTCGAATATTTAACATTGTGTATACTGTTCCATTTAAGACCTATTGATGTTCTTTGATGTATATGTACATAAATTTACAGTGGTTATATTCAACATGCACCAAAATCAAGGGTCACCAGCATGTGCATCACTAACCACCTCCGGAAACCGATAGTGTACCCAGGTAGGACGATGACTGATCATCGGAATCCCGGGATCGTTTGGATGTTGAAACTGACGGGCCCGCATGGGGAGGATCCGTCCGTCGGCCTTCTCCGAACGGGGTCAAGCAAAAAGCGTCATTCAGAGCCGTAAAACATCATCCTCATCCTAAACCTCATCTTAACGCAATCCCATGTCCCCCCGAATTCTCGAGAATGCCCTTGGTGCGGTAGGGAATACGCCTCTCATCCGTCTTGATAAAATAGCCAAGCAGAATGGTCTCAAGTGTAATCTTCGTGAGTCCATATCATAAACAAGTCAGGGTAGTCAGAAACACACTCATATCCGACTTTTTTTTTAAAAAAAAAGTTGGCAAAGTGGAGTACATGTCTGCAGGAGGATCTGTCAAAGACAGAATTGCAAAAGCCATGGTGGAAGCTGCCGAGGAGGAAGGAAAGCTCATTCCTGGGAAGAGTGTTGTTATTGAGCCAACATCGGGAAATACGGGTAAGTCTGGGTTGGATCACTGGGTGTGTTAGGATTCTCATGGCCGTCATTCTAGGTATCGGGTTAGCCATGGCGTGTGCTATCAAGGTAAAACGACCAACGAGGATTTGATTGGATATGTACTGAATACTACAGATAAGGGTTATTCGGTCATTATAACGCTGCCTAACAAGATGTCTTTGGTGAGTTTCACTTTTAAATGTACACAGCAGCATTTTCATCTCTTATTATAGGAGAAGGAAGCCGCTTTGCGGGCACTCGGTGCAGAGGTTGTTCGGACGCCCACCGAAGCCGCGTGGGACGCGCCAGAAAGTCATATAGGTAGAGCGCAAACTTTACGCTCTGGAAGTCTCGTGGCTGAATTCCTTAACGATCGCAGGAGTTGCGCAGAGGCTGCAGCGGGAAATACCCTATGGTATCATTTTGGACCAATACCGCAACGTTCGTCAAGCATTTTATTAGGTTTATGGTTTGGTATCTCATACACTTGCGCAGATCAACAACCCTTTGGCTCATGAGTACACAACTGGTCCTGAGATAATTGATGCGGTTGTTTCAACCCCTTCGACGACATGCAGACCATCCTCAGGCAAGATCGATGTAATAGTTGCTGGCGCGGGCACTGGAGGAACCATCACTGGGCTCTCGCGAGCAATCAAGAAGACCCATAACAAAGGTTGTATTGTTGTTGCTGTAGATCCTGTGCGTTAGCCCATTTATCTTCTGAGGTCATCTTCTCATCTCCATTATCAGAGAGGGAGTATACTTGCCTATCCTGATGAACTCAATTTGTCAGACGAAGGCAAACAATACACCGTTGAAGGCATTGGCTATGACTTCATCCCAGATGTACTTTCCCGTGATCCGTCTGATATCAATTCGTGGATAAAAAGCTCCGATGAGGAGGCATTTGCTGCTGTCCAAGCCCTTATGAGGAAAGAGGGACTTCTTGTTGGTGGAAGCAGCGGAAGTGCACTTAGCGGTGCTTTGAAATGGCTTCAAAGCACACAGGGCCAAAGTGTTGCGCAGATGGAAGGAATGAATGTAGTGGTGTTACTTCCAGACGGGTTAGTCCCCGTGTTTTTTCTCTTCCCTCTTGAGTGATAATGACCGACGAGCAGCATCCGGAACTACATGAGCAAGCCTTGGTTTTTGAAAATGGCCATGGAGGCTGAACCTTCCCCTCTCGCCAGTATAATTGCCAATGTACTCCACGAAACCTCTTCGACACAGAAGCTGGACAATCTCTCGGATGATTCTTCCACGATACAAAGGCTTGCCAACGGTGTGAGTGCAATGAAAGTATCGGTATGAATCATATTAGTTGGTTTCAACCTTGACACATACTTTTTCGTTGGATGCGAGGCAATTTTCCTTTTCTTTAATTAGAGGCTCGCACTTAAATAATGGTATAATATAGGATACAAGGTGTTTTATTGACTCCATATCACTATAACTCTAATATCGTGATTCGTTCAAGTACGATCAAACACATTATAGTGATTAAGTATATAGGACAGCCACAGACCCATAAGAACTCCACCTAGCAGAAGTTCGCGTCTCTCAAGGCTGTCCATCCAACTGTTGATTAGACAGTTGAAGTTCATAATTATTGGCACATCACCAGAACCGATTACAGCATAGATGCAGTTAAGCACTGCTCGGGCAGAAAGTGGCCAGGGAGGTTAAGGTAGAAAAGGTTGACAGGCTTAGAATAAGGAGGCAAAGGCACAAGTTCTATTAAAAATGATTAGTGTCGTAAGGGCGAAGGCACGATGATTTAGGGAACTAAAAGAAATTTTTTATTTATATACTCGCCCACGTAAGTAACAAACAAGTCAACACATCACGTGAATTAAGTACAACGTTCATCACATGCGATCACATGTGAAGACACTAAGAGTCGCCGAATAACGGCCAAGCTCATGAAAAGCCTTTGCTAATTGCTCAAATCTCTAACTTCATCAGCGCTTCGTACATACTAACGGGTAAGATTATTTCCCGATTTACTGTATCAGATTTTCTATTTTGAAATGCGATGGCCGTTTCAGACGTTCATTCCCCGTATCGCGTAACGAGCACGAGACAATGAGCAACCTCAAGACCGTGTTACAAAACTTGAAAAGCGACAAAATAAAAGAGCGTCAAGAAGGCCTTGCCTCTATTCGTACCGTATTTGCACAAGATAAGGTCGTCGCGAATTTTCACGTTAATCGTGAGGGTGAAGGAGACCCTCGAGCATGGCTTCCCGTGTTCCAGGCGCTATTTCAAGCGGTGTTAAACGAGAAAATTGCTGCAACGAAGACAACCAATAAATCAGCAGGATCTGCGGCGACAGCACAGAGGAGGCTTGCCGACGCTGCTAGTGCCGTCCGATGGTTGACAGAAAAGACATCAGAACTTATGAACAAGCGTGTTGTCAAAGCACTTTTCGAGCATCTTCTACAAACAATTGTGCATAAAGGAGAAATGTTAATGCCAGTCGCTTTGGATTACATTAAAGCCTTGAGGTGCCTCGTTAGCTTCACCCCCCACCTCGAGCATATGGAGGACGATACTTGGGTCAGAATCGCAGAGATGGGTTTTAATGTCATTCTCAGTGACCCAATAAAGAGTACTTTTGAACTCCATGTTGGGGTTGAAAGTTCTGCGCGGAAAATTGAACCCGATGACGAAGATTTGTATGAAGATGACCCGATGGGTGAGGGAGAAGGGGAAGATGTATTACCTTCTACCACTAGGAAAAGACCCCGGAGCAACTCTAACGCAACATTTTTTCATAAGCCGCCAGAGAAAAAAGGATCATCCCAACGACAAAGTTCGATTTCTGTTTCTCTCGAGCAAATCGAATTTATGTCGGTTATCTCGATTATTCTTCGCTCATCATCGTCGCCTATCCTCGCGCATAACTATCGTTATCTCCCTACGTCAATCCTCCTGCGCCTTGAACGATTTCTGGACATGTATCCAACCGATACCTCTCTTGTCCAGGATTATGTTGTGACCGTGTCATCCATACTTGATCACCTGTCGTTAAATAGGACCCACGATGTCGCCCGGTTTGCTCGAAAATCTTGGAACGGCTTGGTCGCTTTGTGGGGGACTAAAAACAAAAGAATCAAGGAAGGCCTGGTTGCCGTTCTACGAATTTTATTTCCTTTCGTTGCAACAGATAATGAAGTATATCAGGTTACTCCTTTTGACTGTGCGGAAGGCATAGGGAAACTTTGGCATCTCCTTGTCGGAGAAGCCGAAAGTAGATGGGGTATAGAAAGTTTATCTTTTGATGCATTAAGATTTGAACCAATTAAACGTAACTTCGGCTTTCCTGAGAATAATCCCGCATTTATAGCCAAAACATTTCGTTCGGGGTGGAATTTTGATGCAGGTCAAGCATTGGCTTGGGCAACCTTGGAGCTTCAAGCAGACTGTGCTGGCAAGGTGAGAACTACCCCCATTTTTGAATTGAGCCTAATAATACGTAGTTGTTACAACTTTCGGAGTCTATGCATATAAGTGCAACTCCAGGCTCTTCCCGGGGCGAAGGCAAACGAGTTCGGTTAGAGAGTCCAATTGCATCCCTTCTATCGTCAATCCAACATCAACCTGTACCAAATGTTCGGACCTACCACTTGCAAATACTTTTATTCTTCATCGATCGACATTGGTCAGTAGTCCATGACTCTCTTCAACAAGAAGTGGTTCAGACGCTGTTTCAATGTATATCGTATGACGATGGCAACATCCAGTCTTGGGTCCTTTTATGTTTTGCTGCAATAGCACATACTGGAATTTGCAATGTCGCCCATTCGCTCAATATAACCCCTGGTGAGCATCTACAGCCGCCTTTTACATCAAGCGTCCAACCAGTACAAAACATTCTCGCCTGGGATTCAATATGGACGAATGCTATTCGCCGTGCAAACGTGCCAACTGTATGTCGGGCAGCTTGCCATGCTGCTCATATTCTGTTGCTGAATTATCAGCTACAAATGGGCAATGATAATCATATCCCATTGTCTTCTCAACGCGTTTTGTCAGAAATTGAAGCCCTGGGGAAAGACTTAGATGTTCAGGGTCCTGTCTACCCGTATGACTCCGTTTGTGCCTTTCTATCTCAGTGCTTGAAAATTGCAGGACAAGACATGCGTCTTTATCGCATGCAACTGGAAGAAAAGGTTGTGAGTTGGTTAGTTGATTGTTGGAAGGTTATGGGAATGGGAAGAAAACGAATGTCTTTGCATACGGTAAAAGATATTGTGCATCTTTTAGAGAGCATATGTGG